ATTTTTATTTTTCATTTTTATATTTTCATTTTTTATATTTTTATTTTAACAAAACATTTTTTATTTTTTATTCTTTCAAAGGGGGTACCTTTGATCCGACCCTTTAAGAGACTAATTAAGAATCTTGGATATATCCAAGATTCTTAGAATGTCTATGTTTAGAAGTTGGAGTTTCGTYTCATAATTTCGTCCTCCYRCAACCCTCTCCTCCTCCCCATGCAAATGCCTCTCTTCTCTATCTTTTAAACACATTTGTCCATGTGGGATGTACAATTTGCATACCAATGTACGATTTATAATGATTCATCTACAATCATGTTTCTTTATATTTGCCCTTTACCGTAATATTCTGTACGGGGAGATATCATGCAAGACCCATAAATCTGGGTATTCAGCAAGGAAGGATCTCAACATGGGAAGATCCTTGGAAAAGTGGATGGAAATCCAAATAGAATCCTCCTCATCCTCATCCAACGTCCCCATCTCATAAAAATGCAACTACCTAGGTAATATCAACCCAACAGCTCATGTGGGATGTACATTTTATTTATGCATATTTTCGTATGGCATTCCTTCAGCGTCACGGACGATTTTTGAATGCTTTAAAACGTATAGTTTTTATAAAAACATTTATAGACGCAACGTCTTAGCACAACAAAACTTTTAGGAACTGGGGTATGCTGTTGCTCAGTTTTGAGTAGTTTTAGGGCTGACCATGTAAAACACCACGAAATAAAGATTTTTTTGCTCGTAATTGTCATTGCTGGCGTTGAGTTWATGGYTTTGCGCGCGAGCATATGTCTATATTTTCTAAAAACCGAAAAGAAACCCTGTTCAAAACACAACATCCCATATTTAAAAGCGCAATTTTACTCCCAGGGGAATACGAACAAGAAGTATATATGAGTTTAATCGATTTTTCCGTGTGGGATATTGAATTTCTGATGAAAAAGGGGGGAAAAACAATTTGGTAATAAAATACAGTTCTACAATACAACTTATCTAACTCTACATATACAACTACTACCCTCGGAACGAAAAAAAAAAACAAAAACACAACAAAAAACAAATAAACAGACATGCAGCTGTACGTCTTAGGAAATATTTTTTAATTATTAAAAAAGAAAATTAATCTACGATTGCGAACAAAAATGTGCACCAAATGTACAGAAAATGAAACAAAATGAATCGATAAAAGAAGTCGATCTCTTTACCCTTGTGTCATTCTCTTGAGAGTAAGATTCTCGTGTCTTCTCGTGCACAGCCGTCAAACAAAGAAATAATACTCTAGGGAATGACACGTGATCCCTAAGTTGAATATAGGATTGTAATTTTTCTCTCAAGTTTGTAATTTTCTTACAACAATTTTACATCATTCTTTTTTGTTTGTGATTCATTTTTTGAATGAGAGTTTTTAATTGCTTTGATTTTATATATTTTCAGTTCTCCTTTAATTTCAGGCTGCTACAACTTATAACCTCTATTCTACTTTTCAAGTAAAGTACGACTTGGACATGCTTTTGAGTCTTATGAACCTTATATGAATTTTGCATATATATATATGTCTCACATATACCTCATCATACAAACAGTCATATTATACACCGAATAGGTTTGATTATAGCAATCATTCCGTGTAAGTACACACACTTGTCAGTACTTTATACACCAACTCTGCCCAATACATAACGATTTAAGGAAACACCCGGTGAAGTAGTAACTAATGTTCCTGCTGTAACCCATGTGGGTCACAATTACAAAGGATTGCGCATGCTCAAACAAGAACATGACGTGTGGACACTAAACTTATCTAAGACCAAATTTAATTAAAAACTGGTAATATTTTACACAAATAGTAATTAGTACTGTTAAAATTAGTACTGTTTCGTAGAGTGCATACCATATATATCCGTGAAAAAGTCAACTAAAAAATCGTACAAATTAGTGCAAAGTTTTGTAGGTCTACGGTCTACTGAACTTACTAATTTGTGCGATTTTTTACAAAGTTTTTTACGAATATATGGTATTTTTAAATTTTGTAAATTTGTAAATTCAAGTGAATAGTGTCACGGTGCCATTTCAGAACACCTGTCATTCTCTTGAAAATAGTTATAACTTTTATATAACTGGTGAGGAAAAGAATGCGTAGAGTTTATACTGTAGTCAGCACTGCAGATGTTATAGGGTACATATTTCCAAGTGGCGTCTACAAGGAAACAACAACTTCAACTTTTCTTTACTTTTTCTCAGCTTGCGAATGGCAAGACAATAAAAATCCCGCAATAAAACTTGAATTCGCGTACTGAAGCATTTTTTCCTAATTACAAACTCAACGTCACCGATAAGCAGAATTGCTGACTGCGTTAATGACGAAGCTCAAAGTCAACCCCAAATTACTCTTTGAAAATAATGAATGACTTCATCATGACATGACATTGCCATCTCGACTTCTCCATGTGGGATGAACAAAAATATTGAAAATGCCATAATTCATAATCTACACATGCTCAATGAAACATAACTGAGTGCATCAATTATCACATTATTMTGTCTTGTGATTTGTTGTGTTGTGAAAACCTCATGAGGCAAACAATACGACAGGTACATACCTCGAACGAAGTCTTATCTTTTTTATTCATTTGAGTGACCAGAAACRATGGCTCAGGTCGAGGTTTGACTTGATGAAGTAACTGTGTGAACACTGTGTGACACAAGTCCCATCTCGACTTGGACTCATTGTTTAGTAGTCACTCAAGGAAACTTTCAAAAGACCCCTTGCAGCACGTCGGAATGTAGCTCAGTTTGGAGGACATAACAATCTAGGTTTCCAATTCTCAGGAAGTTGAAATTCTTGTTTTGTTGTCCAAATTGAGCTAGTTTGACGTCACATGCAAAGGGTCTATTGGTGCCAAGTACAAGTACCTATATTCATAAACACCTTTGTAAAACATTTATGAAGAATTATAAAGTCATTAGAGTGCAAACAATTATGAAGAATTATAAAGTCATTAGAGTGCAAACAATTAATCCGTGAAACACTAATTACTAAATAGTACAAAATAGTGCTAATTAAACAATAGAAAACAATGGAATTTGCATGAAATTGTGCTATTTAGTATTACTAAAGTTTCACGGTTATATTGTTTGCACTCTACAGTCGCTGTTGGAAGTTTATTGAATTTTAATAAATGACACATCACTACACGCACAAAATGTGAAACAAATTTATTATTAAATTTCATAAAAATTGATAAGCCATACAATAAAAAATGTGCACCCACCAATGCGAAAAACAAACAAAAACAAAAACGAATGTACAAACAAACGAACGAATGAATAAATAGATAAATAATAAATAACGTAAATATTTTCTGAAAAAAAGAATAGAGGAAAAAGGGAAATAAGAAATAAACATACGAAATTTATTTCATTATATTAAAAGTATAGCTGTGACCAAGTTGATTGCTGC